TGGAGTTGTGGAGGGGGAAACTGCCTTCCAGCTGTGGAGCTCATCCCCCTCCCCAGCTGTCAAATGAGTAAACAATTACTGTTAAAAATTGTTTCAATATGCTCAATGCATGAGCGTAATTATGTTTGAAGAATTGAAGCCTGAAGGCGCAAGATGTAACTTCAGAGGTGCTTAATTTTTTCCTCCGCTGTTCCAATGTTTAGTACAGCAGATTTTGTTGTCATATGCTATTCGTTTAATAAAAAGAACTCCAAATGTATGACCCTTATGTGAAAAAATGTGTTTTGTTAGCCAAACCCCCAAATAATCGCCCCTCTTCATGATTTTGTGCAGGCACAATCTGAAGCCCTTGGTTTTTGTATTATCCATCATATTCTTGTCAATTAAAAAAAAGACTCTGTTCATCAGCTTAATCACTTGAATTTGGAGTAGGACATCCTTTTCCTTTTTATGTATATTTAAAAAATTACGTTGAATTTGGAAATGGAAGGAACAGTTAACCAAATCTGTTTGGATTACATGTTTAATGTAAATACGTACTTTATGCATGTGGTAATTAGATTTTTCTGTCAGTAACACTTTCCCTAACATTCCAAAATGTAACAACAACAGAAGCAAAGTCGGTGCCATCTCAGCATAAAGGGCAGCAAAGGAACTTTGCCAAGCCTGCAAACATAATGATTTACCTTTAAATTTCCTAAGGAAATCTGGTGTTCATGGAGAATGCTGGGAAGCAGCACAACCTAGCAGTACCCGAGTGCAAGCTATTGACATACTTTTGTTTTTTAAGAGACTGATTTTGAATGCAGTATCAAGCTGGAATATTTCATGTCTGGTTTTGATCTCACAAAAGTCTTCTCTTCCTCTTAAATTTGTTCTTAATTAAATTTCTTTACAGTTTAATGTTTTATGTGGGTTGCTTCGTCTGCTGACTGACTTCTGACCTTTAACAAAGCGTGGATTACTTTCTCAGGAACGTTGTTTTTACAGTTTTGTGGATTTTTTTTTTTCTAATTAGCCCTGTTTGTTAAACAAACCCAACCCTTTTCCCCTCTATTTTATACAGTAGATGCTCCAAAAGTTTGGAAGTATGGAATTCAGGCATCTTTGCTGTGATGATCTTTGTGTTTGTACCAGATTGTCTTCACTGCATTTCCAAGCTTTATTTTTCATTGAACCATAGAAAGATTTATTTTGTGGTACACAAGAAGCGTTCTAAAACTTGGTGTGTCAGTCCTGTTATAGTTTTATAGGAACTTTGTCAAGAATGTGCTGTGTTTCTAATATAGGATGTGGAAGGGAAAACTTAGTGTGATGCACCTGTCAGCTTTTAAAGGTTTTAAAGCTGACTTCTTTAATTTTCCTGATGCACATATGCCTTCCTCCTAAGCTTTTTGCTTGGTGGGATTTGAACGATGGTTCTGGCTTGTGAACCAAAGCGATTTCCCCTCCCCGTGTTTCAGAATAGTCTGTGTCTTTGGGAATTCTTTGTGCAGACCTTTTGTCTCCCAAGCCTGGTGCTAGTATGTATCTGGTCTATAGAAAGTACTCAAGCGCTTGCAATTTATTAACTAAGTGAACTATTTTTAAGTTTCTGGTATGTTTTCATAAAGCTTTGTTTAGGAAGTGAGGTTTCCAAAGCAAGCAAACTTTGGACCCTCGGTGTTTAAAAACAAGCACATCCTTTGTATTGGATGTTACTGCAACCATCCATTGTCCTAAATAAAAAGACCGCTAAAAAACACGGTCAGGCATCCTTAGATGATCTAAATCCTTTACTTCACTTTTCTTGTATGAGTCCCTCTGTCTTCCAAAATACTGTTGTCGTTTTGCCAAAGCACTGAATTATATTGCCAAATGTATTTTTTTAAGTGTTTTATCAGCGTTATGTGCCTTATAGATACTATGATGCTTACAAATTACAGTGCTTCATGCTGCTTTTGACTAGCAAATGTTCTGAAAAAAGTCAAGTCCCTTCTCGCAGAAGAATTTCTGTCTTTTCTAATATGGACTTCCCCAAGTTAAAATGCCTCATTTGCAGAATCTTGCTTTATTGCTGCCTTTCTGACTTTGCTTGGTGTTTGACATACTCGGAATGAGACAGCTGACTGCTCTCCTGCGTGTGATCATTTATGGATAGAGAGCAGAAAGTCAGCATGCTCCAGTTTTCAAATATTGTTTGCACATGTTTTGGGGATGTATCTCTACTGCAGGTAAATCCTGTTTCTGATGTTATGGTGAACTTTTTATCTGCTTAAAAAATACTGCGCTGTCGTTAGCATTAGGTTTTTCTTCAGTCATCGGTGGACTGTTATAAAATCTGGTTTCTAAAGAATAATGTTTTAGATTGTAATACCAACTGGATAGATTTGTACATCTGAAATTCATTTAACCTTTGTATCAAATACCTTTGTACTTAAAGGCTAATTTTTCATGCCTAATTTGCACGTGCAGTTACTGTGACTGAGTGGGCAGTTATGGTAAAAGTCTGTGCAAACAGCAGGCCTTTCGTCTAGACCAGCTTTACACCTCCAACCACCATAACAGTGAAGCAAGAATTTCATGAATAAAGGAAAAGAAATAAGCACACCTGGGTTTGAAGATCTGTGCCTAATGTGTTTGGTTTCTCTAGCCTGCAGTCTTCTTGTCTGACTCTACCCTGTTTAGCTTGTTATTGATTTTCCCATGCTTTCCTCTGTAGTCATGCTCTGTCCATGGAGGTAGTGGTGTCTATCCAGTATTTCATGGCCATTCCTTATCACATTGATTAAATGATAGCTTCTGTGATAAGTAAGTGGAAGGTCTTTTCCTGTCTTCCCTCAAGAGAGCAGTTTCTGGGATGTTTAATGCCACAATTCTGGCATTCATCATCTTTCTCAAGCACTTGTCCTATGCAGCTTGGGTCTCCTTGTGTGCACGAGTCACTGCACCTGAGGTGTCTTTTCCCAGCTAATTTATGTTTCTTTCGCTTTCTCTTTGAATTAAGGAATAGTTCAAATTCCTAGCTAGGCTGCTTTTCTGAGAGTTTTCTCTCACCTACAGTTGATTCCTTCACGTCTCCAAACAGAGCAACATACAATGTGAAAGTCATTAGAATGTATTTATGAATGAAACACGGACACTTTTCCAAAGTCACCACAGAGCATGTGGCTGTTTTATGTAGGACTACAGAAGAACTTTTGTACGCACTGACAGCTGAAATCGCATAAAGAGTTAAAGCACAACTATTTTTATTGGACACTTCTACAGACATTCATAAATGTATTTCTCTGTGTAGTGCGTATTAGTAATAGATTACACTGAGAAATGTGGTCTCGGTATTCGCAATACAGAATGTGCTTTCCTTTTGCTGACACCTATGGAAAGGGAACTTGCACAGCAGCAGATAATTTCAGCAGATTTTCCTCCTTTACTACTCCCACTGCCTTTTTGGACACATAATGTAGGGGTTGTAAAGCAGTCTCTAAAGTAACATGCTTGCTGTTGCTTGCCAGTGAGAAATCTTGGGGCCTTTAAAGTGCTTTTGAATTAGGTTTTGGATACCAGTGTTTTCCTCCTGTACGTTCTCTACTTGATTTCAAACTGCTTTTTGAACAGATTATAGAAAAAATTATCTGGAGCGTCAGAAAATAAATGTGTTTAAAAAATTATGATGACGTAAGAGATAAAGTACTGTGCTTGACTGTGGTAGATCAGTAACCTGCAAACTGCAGTTTCTGAGGGCTCTGGGCTCATTTGTAATACAGAGGAAGTACAAAGCTCTTTCTTTGTGTGAACGTGGAATTTTGCGGCTGTAGGCTTCAAATCATTTGTCTTGATACCAAAAGGAATATACGAATCTTAAAGAGATCTTTCAAGCATAGTCATGTTGAGTAAAAGCATTTATTACAGCTTTGGAATGTTTAACTGCAGTATTGCACATCTAAATTGGGAAAGTTTATAAGTACTGAAGTTTTAGGGAATGTTATAAATGTTCACATAGTTCTGTTTTAATTCCTGGGGTCTGAACCTTTGGGTTTGCTTTTTCAAGTGTGGGGTTTTTTTTCTTTTTTTGCAGCCACGTAGATTATAGATTTCCCTTAACATACAGGCAGATGCTCCCAACTGTTGATGCTTTATGCAAAATCTAAACCACTTGGAAGCTTACAATGAAATAGTAAAAGTATGTAGCAATATAAGGAGGAACCTTGAAACAGCTGACAATGCACAACGCTTCCTTCCCAGTTTTTAAAGCCTTTTGTCCAGATTTTGAAACAAGTATTTCGTGTCATACCTGAAATGGTCTTTTTCCTCCCTCTTTTTCTTGGGCTTCCTTTTCGGGTGCACATGAGAATGAACCTGGTTTGAGTTGGCAGCAGGACTCAATCTGTATGAGCTTGGTTTCAAAATACTCAGCTCAACTCATGAGCGAACGTTGTATTTGTTTAACAGTTTGGCAACTTAGCACCGAAGACTGGAAAGTGTGTAATGTGGCTCTTTAAATGACTTAATAGTAGTGGTAACATTTTCAGAGGATTCTAATTTTGTGTTGCATTTTTATTGGATTCCGATGAATTTTGAACTGAGCTTTAAAAGAGGGTTTGCCCTTTTTTTTTATAGGGAGGTTTATATGGCTTCCTACTTACCAGATGTATACATACTGTGGGGCACTACCAGTGAGAAAGAAATCTTTCTAGATTTGGCTTTGTAGTAGTGGATCCTTCCGTTGGTTATTGTTGCACAGCTTTAATATAATAGTGCAGTTTCCATGGATAGAAGTGTAGATTAGGAAATTTCTAATTTTCTGATATTTAAAAATACATAACTGTGGTTATTTAATTTTGTGAATAGTTGTTGAAACCACATCACTATGGCTTTGGCTTTTTTCGTAATGTCATTGTGTTTCTTTAGGCAGTGTCAAGCATGGCGTGTGACAGTGTGTGCCATCTGTGCATTTTCTGGGAAAAGCCCCCCAGATTTATACTAATTTCCAGCCCTTTATGTTTTTCTCTAAATTACAGGTCACCTATTTTACAAATTTGGGATCACAGAATCTGACTGGTACAGAATCAAGCAAAGCATAGACTCCAAATGCCGAACAGCTTGGAGGCGGAAACAGCGGGGGCAGAGTCTTGCTGTGAAAAGCTTTTCAAGGCGAACACCTTCATCATCATCTTACAGTGGTTCAGGTAAAAAAAAAGCAGACAACCCTCTCTTTAACTCACAGTAACCAAACCAACCCCAACAGGAACTGAAACTTATAGCAGTAATGCTATTTGCTTTCCAATAGACCTGAAAATTACCTCGATCTTAATTCTGTTTGCAACAGGTGTGTGTAGTACCTACAGATGTGGATATTTTTGCATAACAAGGGTAAATAGAGAAACCCATGTTTCTCACAATTGAAGTTTCGGAGTTGATTTTATATTCTTGCATTTTTGTTTTGGAAGTACCATTTCTCATTTGTGAAGAGGCCTCTCTGTTACAGTGTGTGTATATCTACAGTGTTTCTCAAGGAGGTTATCTGTGTACTAAGTGAAGCTGTCCATTCATAGTTAAATCATCGTGGGCCCCCAGCAGAAGCCAAGCACCTCCTGGGGTGGCTGGCTTCCACCAGCCTTATGCTGCTTGTACCAAAGTAGATCCCTGGTGGGATGAGCTTCTAATCCTGTTTCATCTACAAGTTGCAGTCACGCTCTTGGTCGCAGTGCATTAAAGATCCTAGAAAGGAAGTGAGATGTGTATATGTGTGTGTGTTCACAAGGAGAAGGAAAAGGGAGTCTGTATCTAGAACAGTAGTAAACTATGGATTTGCCAGAAAGGAGTGTAGGACATTCCAGAGTGGAGAGAGATTGGCTTTGTGGGTTTGTACATTATCTGAATGCCTGCCTTCATTGCGATGCTTAAGAACATCCAACTCCATGTGTTAACTGAAGTACATGCAGCTTTATGCTATGGTATGGGTTGTTTTTTTTTTTTTTTTACCATGGTGATTTTTTTTCAGTAGAGAGTCAAAATGTTTCTGCAGCTGATATTCAAGAGGAGTTAAGTGAATAAATCTTTCTTGGTGTGTTCGCACCATTTAGTTGGACGTGCTAAATTTTGTTCTTGAAGTGTTTTCCTCTGAAGAATTTAAATATGTTGTAGGTGATTTTATATTTCCATATAGGTATGTAGACATGAATAATAATAACAAATGAAAAATATTGGCCTAAGAAGTGTTCTCATAGGACGTTTCTGGCTCATGCTTTTAATATAAAGCAGTGTTATGGGACACTTGTACGTCATATATTAAAAACAGTGTTTTGGAAGTGAGCCCAAAGAAAAGGAAGTAAGTTTATTTGCCTGCATAAAATTTTTGGTTGCATGTTAACACTAACCACTGTATCTCATGCAAAGAATGCCAAAATCTGCTTTCAATGGAAAATTTTATGTGCTGGAACTGGGAATCATATCCAAAATTCTCAAATTAAAACAACTAATCAAAGTAATGATAACCATAAGCTATATATGTTAATGGGATTTTTATTTTCAGCAATCAGTATTTTAGAATAAAAATGCAGTAGTAAGTGAATATTATGGGCCTGTGCTCATTAGTCTGTACTCCTTGACTATTGTTAAGATCTATTATTAAAAAATATTAATCTTTAATCTCCTGGTTTGGAGACTTGGGGAGACCTGTGTAGAGATGTAAAACATTATTCAGGCTCAGTGGATTCTTGGTTTCAGAAGGCCATGAGATAAGAAGTTTTGGTGGGTTTTTGGTTTGTTTTTTTTTTTTGTTAAACTGAAAACTCAGAGTTTCCCCCCACTCGGTTCCGCTAACCTGATTTGTGAACCAATTGTTCCATGGGTACAGGGACACCTGAATTAACTCCTGGGATTTCAGTAGTGTGCTGTCTGGGCAGGTGGGAGTAGCACGTATGGACAGTCAGGGGTTGGTTCTGCAAGAACCACATTGGTGTTTTGGGTTGTGTGCCCAGGCTCACTCATTCAGCCGGTGCTGAGCTGGCTGCCTGTGGTACATCAGCATCCAGGATTTTCCCAGGAGTTTTTAGGCCGCCTGTGTGTCCCCTCATAGCAAAGAAGTGGCTGCATGTCCTTATAAAGATGTCTTTTGGTCCAGAAGATGATGAGGTTCAGCTGAGACATCTTGGCACGTCATTGGCAGGACTGTATGGACTGTGCAGCCAAGAGTAGAGTACCGGCAATAACATTAACAGCTGCCTCTGGTAATGGTATGTGAAAATGTTCCCATGGATCCAGAGTCTTTTGTTAATTTTCTTTAAAATACTGCTCTTACTCAGAATGTCATTGGCATCATTTTCTGGGAGGCCATAAAGATGTTAGATGAATTCACCACTGCATTCATACCCGTGGTGAAAAAAGTCTGAGAAAAACAGACCACTTTTCTAGAATCAGGTGTTCCTTTGCAAAACTAATTTGCATTCCCAAATCAGGTGGGAATGGTATTTCACCTGAGGGGAGAAGAGGGGTATAAGGAAAAACAGGAAAGTGGGTTGAGAGGCTAAATAAGTGAATGGGCAAAAGAAAGAGAAGAAAAGATGCAAGGTAAAAAAAAAAGTAGATTCCCAGATGTTTGAAAGGTAACTTTTGCATGACAGGGCTGTAATTCCACTGCTCTTTTCAGGTAACTTCGTGAGCTGCTCAGACTTTGCCTTTGTGGCTTCACATCCCTGGAACCCTTCAGTGGAATTACAGCATCATAATTCACAGGCATCTGTTCCTTATTATACACACTGTACAGTGGATATAGCAGAATTCCTGCTGCCAGCTAGCAAGAAAGAGAAGTAATATTTCACAGCTCTGAAGCAAAGGAGGTCTGTATTTCACAGTTATGACAACATAGCTGTCAAATATGGCTTTTTAAAGTGTTACATATGAACCCAGACAGTTTTTATGGTAGCATTTGTTTCGGGGGCAATTTAAGGTGAGCCTTTAACAGTCTGAAATACAGCTACTTGAGAAACTGTCTTTCCCATTATTGTTAGTTATAGTTATTAAGATCAGCTTCTAGGTGCTTTATGTCAGGTCTCCACCCTACTGTGGTTACTGCTTTCTGCAGAAGAATATCTGTTTGGTTTCACTGAGTAGTATGTTACTCCATGTCAATACACGTATTACAGGTATTTGTGTAGTTTATCTGTTGGGTGGAGTGTAGTAGGTGCTTCACGCAAAAGCTATGATGAAGAAAAAGATCTGGTAGAAGATTGTGAATGGCCACTGTGTTGTGTCTACACTGTGAAGGATGCTGGGATATGCTGTGTAGTGTCTTGCACAATGTCTGCTGAGCTGTTCTGAAAAGCTTTGGCTCCACTCACTCAGCAGAAGACTGGCTTCTGTTCAAAGAAGCTGTAGTGATTTAGTTGGATCAGGAAATGTAGTGAAGGGTGTTCTGTGACTGGTCAAGCTAGGTTGCTGGGCACCTTAAGGTAAGGGTGTCATCATGTTCTCTGGTAGTTCAGATACACCAGTGGTGTTGCAGAAGTTCAGTAAGAAAGTGCTTTTATTTCATCTCTTGTGAGCATTTCAGGTGGTGCCACTTGGGGGGATTTGCACACGCTCTCCCTTTTACTGGGTTAAATATGATAAACCTAAGCTATCTACAGAAGCACTTAAACCCATTGTTCTTAGCTAAATTATGATCATTTCATAGGGGAGGTTTAAGGTTTACCCTGGAAGATATTCCTGTAGTCTTCAGAGAGCACTTCTTAAGATGCACTGTTGCCATCAACAATAGATGCCTTAAGTAGACACATAGCATCACAGTGTCTGCTGTGCAGCTGAGCTGTTCTGAAAGCATCATTAAGAGGTTTAAATCTGATTTCAATGTCCTAAGCGTGAATGAGTGAACACCACGTTCCCTGTTTGAAGTTCTTCCAGAGTTTGGTAAGGTTTTTCCACTTCTGAACTTGTGATTGTAGTACTTAATACCAAAATCATGACCAGGAAGTGCAACAGGAAAAAAAAAGGCTCAGGTCCAGAAATGTCACATTCGGTTGGCTTGAAATAATATTTTTCATCAATTACCTCTAGGGGCTGATAATAGCAAGATAACTTTCTGTATGTCATAGTGTAATAATACATAATAATACAGCAGAAGGCTTATTGGTGCTTTCCGTCAAGTGTTGCAAAGGATCAGCTGTTCTGCAGTTTTGTGACTTTTGAGTTATTGCATGCACAATAAATGAGTCTGCGCTATTTACATTTAAAGAGGATTGCTATTCTTGAGCTTCATTCTTATGTACTTGTTAGGCATGTCAAAGGCTTTTTCTGCTTGTTGTGCATAAAAGTTTATGTAGCATGTGGCTTTGATTTGAGTTGTGCTGCTGAAAGTGATAACAGATTTCTTCTCTGCTCTTTTTATCACGTGGAAAAATTAGCTACATAGATGATGTAGAAAAGTAGGAGGTTGAGGCCACAGTCCTTACGTAGTCTTACAAGCTTTTGGCCTTGTAATTCTGTGATAGCATTCAAGTGTTAAGAGCTCAAGAGGAGTGGATCTGCAGACAAAAGCATGTCTAAGGAAGCCAGTAGGAGAGTATGAATGAATGCCTCTTCTGAGTCCTTTGCCCCCAACAATATTAATTGAGATTGTTCTACACTTCATTGACTGTGAAGCTTTACAGTAGCCACAAGATTTATGGGTTGCATAAAGCTGTAGTAGCAGACTGTTACATGTAGGCAGAACTTGGGTTTTGTTATCTGTTTTTTACGTTTGAAGCTGTTGCCTTTCATTGGAATTGAGGTATTAATTGCAGTGGTTTGCTCTGCTCTTCTCAGTGCCAACACTTTGGTCCTTAATGTGTGTTTTTCTCTTCTTTTTTTCTGATGAGTTGTACACATGGCTGCCATGATAATTTAGTGAGATACTCGTTCTATAAATGTTAGCAGTCTATGGAGGGAAGGCACTAGGAAATGAAGTTTTTGGAAGGAGGATTAATTGAAGAGTGGCTTCTCCCTTTCTTTTAATTTCTCTTCAGATTGTTAAAGCTGTTATCACAGTTTTCCATGTTGGAATTTTTAATTAGTTCTATGACTTTGGGATTTGTGTGTAGAAGTGCGCAGCCTAGGCTGAGATGTCACATACAAAAATGGATGTGGAGCCAAATCCTCAAAGCTGTTCTGTAGAATTGGAAGCATTTAGCACTGACTGAGTGAGGTAGAGGTAATGGTTTACAGCATACAGTTTTATTTCAATTAATTGTTCAGTAATGGTGTTTTATCTGCTTTTTGTTTGAGGGCTGCTTTGCTACCTCGAGCTATTAACCTTTCCTTACTAGGGAAACACATCTGCAAGAAGCAGAAGTGTAAGGCTGGGAGGCCTATACACCAGGAAAATGGGTGTGAGTAACAACACATAAGGAAAATAAGCCTGAATCCCTCTGCTATGGAATTTATACGTCCTGCATTTCCTTCCAAAATGCGAAGCCAGATGCTCTGCTGATAACCATGAAGTAGACTAGGAAAGAATCAGAAAGCACTCAAGGTTTTGCTTTTGAAGTGAGAAATTTTAAAACTGATCTTAGTTGAGAATTAAACGTGCGCCTTCTTGAAATGGTTGCAGGTGATATTTGTCTGACAAATCTCACCTTGCTCAGCAGTGTCTGTGGAACATCAGCATTGAGAGATGTAACAGAAGTAACTGCTTCAGCAGGGGTGATTTTGCCAACTGTTGAACATTCATCTGAGAAGGCAAGCTCACTTAGGCTAAATGTACTTTACAGCTCGCAAGCACACACAGTAAACAAGTAGGAAAAATGTAATAGGTCAGTTTCAATTTGCAAGGAAGGAATGTTTCAGTCATGTTTTTTTCACCCCTATATCACAGCTTAATCACCTGTGGAATAGTCAGTGCAGCATCTTCCATTCCATGCGTAGCTCCCAGGCTATTCCATGTAGCGGAGGTTGCTTTGGGAACACCACGGAAAACATACTCAGTAGTAGCACTGCATAAGCTGTTTGTTCATGTCTAAGTACCCCTTTGTAACCAGTGCAGTGGGAAATTTCAAAGCAGGAGTTCAGCTGTGTAGCTTCTTGGTGCCAGGGATTCTCAAATATATCAAAGTTGCAAATGTGAGGCTAGATAGTTTACATGATCGTGATTTATAACTGTTGACACATCCTCCATTCAAGCCTTGTGCTATTCATGTTTGTGTTTGTTTTTAATGGGGAATGTTTAAAAACGGATAAATAATTACTTTTGTCTGGTCAGAGATTTAGAGAGGAAAAACAATACTTATAAAGGATGTTTTATTTTTAGACACTGTTAAATCCTCTCTCTTCTTTCTTCCTAAGAAGAAAAAAAAAACCCCACCAAAATCCAACAAAAAAAAGAAAGAAAACCCAACTGCGGTTATTGCAGAGAAGCCAAACTGAAATCTGTTTATAAGGGGCCATGTGAGATGTACAGTATGACTGCATTCGATCTGCATCTGCTGTTCCTACCTCTGCTAAGTATAATAATTTCTGGCATCTCTGAAGCAAAAGATGGGTTACAAATAAAGTATTTTGGCCTTTATAGTTAAAAATGTATTCCAATATGTGCATATAATATATATGTAAATATATATCTGCTGCAGCTCTTATTTCTTTAATACTGTTTTATTGCATAACTTAGAAAAGAAATACTCATTGTAAATGAATCTTTGTGTTTCCTCAGAAGTACAGCACTGCAGTTTTTGTAATGGTAGAAAGTTCTGTAAGGGAAACACATTTTTACTTGCTTGTGTCCCAAGTCCAGTTTTGCTCTGTGTGTGTATTTACATTTATGCTCTGTGTTTGAGTGTATGAAGTTTACATGTACGTGTGTGTGTGTGTGTGTGTGTACACATGCATTGAAATGAAGGATTATGTGCTTGGATGCTGTTTTGACCAGTGTTGAGCTGTAATTGAGCTCGGCTGCTGAATTATGTACTGGGGGACCGAGCAGCATGATGGAAAGACAAAATCACAACAAATGGAGTAGTGGTAGCTTGTAAGAAGCAAGACAAGTAACAGCAGGTTTGCTTAGCTATTTAGCATCCAAAAATGCTATTATTAAAAAATACAGACAATTAATTGCATAAAATATTATTAGGACTGATGTAATGGAAATGAGAGGAAAAATGAAAGACAACAAGGCTTAGATAAATGATGTTTTTGGAGTATCTGTTGCTTTCAGTGTCCATGGCAAAGCCACTGCCAATAGTAAGCATGACTTAATATCAGAATTGGAAAAAATCACACTATTATTTGGTTGATGGTGCAGTTTTTCCTGTTAGGTACGTGACTTTTCTGGCAACTGTGATTTGTTAATCCCATCTGGAATTCTGTGCAGCAAACTTCTGTTGACAACAGTGAAGGAAATACTGGAGTAGCACTCTAAGCAGCAGGACTATATTTAAGAAATTATAAATGTTCTTCAGTTACCTCCTAGTCAAATGTAAAGTATTACAGATGGACGCCCAAAAGAGAGCAAACCCATGTACTCGTTAATGTTTTGCTCAATTACTGCAAAAGTGTTCTGGTTGTAGTTATGTGTTTGCAGATTAACATCCATTAGAGCTGTCTAGTGGAACTGTTAAGCGACTAAACTTTCAACAAGTAAGTAAATACCAGCTTGGTGGTTTTGAGTTAGTTTCCAGTCCCCATGTTTAGACATAAAACTCCAAAATTATCTTCTTACACAAACAGTTGGAGACAGGATGAAAAAAAACCCCAAAGAATGGATATTTTTTTAAAGAACATTTCCATTAAAATATTTGTATGAGTGAACAAGGTTCATTCTTACAAAACTAACATTCTCTTTTCAGTATAAATCTTAAAAATATTAAGTAGATGTATTAAAATTTTATAACTCATGACTTCCTCCTGTGCTGCCTTAAAAAAACCCAATAATGTAGAAAAAATCGAAGTATATCAACCATTAGTTATCTCTGAGCAGGACAAGGCCTATCAGTGCTTATTTAAGCAATACATAAAATCTTGTAAGGAAATGATCTACAATGGAAGTAAGTGACACTGTTTCTTAAATATTTTCATTATAGTTTCCGGTACTTGGAGAGATTGAAAGCCCTGTGGTATTGAATCTAACTACATGGTGGATATTAATGTGTTTTACGTTATCTTCTAGCATAGAAGTCATTGTCAGAGCAATAAATAATTTGGAAAAATTGTAGACCACTTAATGCTTCAGAGATTTCATTCAGTGTATTTTTGTGGTGTAGCAAAAGAAAAATGTTAAAATCATTTATAAGAATGCTGTAAGTAAAGTGTTTCTTCAAACAATGCATTATTCTAAATGCCCTTTCTGACAGTCCCATTGTCCAAGATGTCTTAAGTAAAAAAAAAAAAAAAAACCAAAACCAAGGAAGAAAACTAGGACTGGTGCAGAATTGTAGTGTGATATTAGTATGATACTGGGGCATTTTAAGGTTTTTTCCTAGCAGCGTCTACTTGAACTTGTCACATGTGCTGAAAAACAGTCATTGATTGATAGCTCCAGGTCTTTTTCCTGATTGCTAGAGGGATGTATGGAATCTCGTGATATATTTACCCACTAATGAGGTCTTGGTCTGTAGGAAAGCATATGTAACATCAGATTTATAAGGATCCTTTCCCTGCAGCTGGAAAACGTAGAAAGGAATCTGTGATACATCTGCTTCTAATGCAAATCGTTATCCTCTTGAAATCACGCAATGGTTTTCCTGTTTCCCGAAGGTAACACCAGGTGTCTTCCTTTGTGTAGGGGCTGCTGCTTAGGAAATGTATGTGGTTTTGCTTTGATACGACTTTTAGTGTTGTAGAATCTTTACTCAAGATTCAAAAGATGGTTTTAAACATACGCTTTCTCAGAGACAAAACAGCCTTTGGAACTCCTGTAGCAGATCTACAAGCACGTGTAAGACTATTAATGCACAAATGATCTGTGTCTGCTTACTGACTGTGTTTGTTTTCCACAGTTTTTAAGTCGTGATTTGTTGTTGCCTGGACACTGGCATGAGATAAACACATGTCACAAAGCTGGATTTTTGTCTCTTTTTCAGAGGGTTCGCAGAGTTCAGTTTCAGCTTCTAATGAGATCCAGCAGAACCAGCCACAAGCGCTACACTATGCACTAGCCAATGCTCAGCAGGTTCAGATCCACCAAATAGGAGAAGATGGACAAGTCCAAGTAGTATGTACTCAACTTTTTCTAAATGATTCCATTTAAATAACCTAGTTTATTGCAAACTTTGCTTCAGTTTAAATTTAATTTTCGTTTTTTGGTTTGAAGTGGCCTATCATTATTTAAGTGTGATTTCCAGAAAATAAACATTGAAAGCTTATAAAAAAAAATCTTATTTGGCAAAAATCTTCATACAGGATGTGTTCACACAGTTATTGCAAACAAATGCACATCGATTACTATATATAGAATGACTAGTCTCCACCTGGCTGTTTGCTTGCACTTGCCATAATAATAATAGCAGACGTACTCAACGCATGATTTACACTTCAGAGGTAGTTCCAGCTATGACTTTCAAAACAAGAATGCATTTATTTATTTATTTTCATTTAAAAAAACTCTGCATTCTTAGGCATTTTTGACCATCTGCTAGCTGAATCCCTTATGTGTGTATTCAGGTACATGTATATAAGTAAAAGTTATAAATATTGACATTTTTTTTAAGCCTGAGACTCCTACCATCACTCGGCCATGATTATAGATAAGGTTTTAGTGTACTCTGAAAAAAACTCATGTTGGCTTTAGTTCCTATGTACTACAGTTTGGCTACAAGGATTGTTTGAAATTCAAATTAAAACAAAACAGAACTCCAAAACTCCAAACCCCAAACCTCAACGGGGCTAGGCAGTGTCCAAGCGCAGAACAGAAGCATGCACAGAGATGTATGTGCCTGCTCTGCATGATGACCACATAAGACCACTTCCCTTAGAAACCAGGCTAAAAAAACAGGTGGAAATGGGCAAATAATCAAGAATTCCTGAGATGTTAGTCAGTGATATAAAATGTAGTAGCTAGTGGTCTGGCTGTTGCAAGAATTTTGGTCAGTGTCCTTACAAAGAAGAGTCTGAAGTGGAGTAATGAATAGATATTTGATAGGTATTTATAGTATTCTCTTCCCAGGTAAGAGAGGCAGTGCAGGAGAGGAGAAAATCCGTCCAACTGAATAATTTACACATAAAGAATGAAAACTCTCTATCAACACAGCGAATACTCAAGTCTGGTCATGCAGGCATGCAAATAGCATGGAAATGGTGACATTGCTCTGAAAGATAATGACAGAAAAAGGGCTGTGAAAGGCTGATGTGTTTGGAATCTTTTAAAAAAGGACATGTCTGTAAGGCTGCTACCCAGAGTAGCAGTAAAGGAGTCATGGAAACTGGGGGAAGATTTCAAGATATGCGCCACACTGTTGAAGGCAACTGGCAGAGCTGTAAGCATTGCTTAAAGGGAGGACTTAAACATTAGCCAGAATATTTTTTAAGGACTGCATGAAAATTAAAGCAGTTGAAATGAAAGTCATTGGGAGGAACTCCAGTAAGCAACTATAGGAGAGGAAAATGCACTATAGAGCAGGCTAACAGTTATTAGTAAGGTAGTAGGTATTTATAGTATATATGTTTAAAAGAAATCAGTATTGACTTGGATTTGTGAACAAACCAAAAGGACTGTCCTTTGAAGGTCAGCTGTGTATCTGCAAAAGATGAGTGAGCAGTTCTCTTCTGGAATGCTGCATAATACAAAGATGAATAAAGTCACCTTCTTCCCCTCTCTCTTTAATCAGAAAGGAGGGTGGCTTACATTTGAAAACTCTATAAATGGGTCTTTTAAATGTTCAGTGCTTTTTCCTGGGAGCCCTGAGAGCTTGATGTTAAGGAGGGAAAGTGATTCTAATCTCAACATGGACTGGGCTGTGCTATAATTTTATATACAGTCCCTATTGTCAGAGCAATACTTTCAGTATGTTTTTTCTTCCTATAAATAGACAGTTTCCTTCTAGAGGAAATGAAACTGTTTGAAATAGAGGGATCTGTGTTTCTTTGAAAATCATATGCAATTGTTCTTGTGTTATAAAATAAGAAGAGCCTTTGACAGAATTCCAAATGATTATCTTTAATCTCTGTCTCATGCAGGCATATTAAAATGAACACAAAGCCTTATAAACCCTGAAGTAGGTTATTTAGAATCCAATCTCCCTTCAGGTAAATCACAGTAGCAAGGACTTCACTGGGCTAGTCAGGATGCGCAAGGAATTCCGTCCACTCTTATCCATGTTTTGATCAAATGGTTGGCTTGATAACTGTTCTGAAGTGGTGGGTATGGTCAGCAATACAAAGTATTAACATTATTAAAACTGTTACAACAGATTCTCCACTAACATAAACCAATGTAACTGCATTCAAATTAACTATTTCATGCCAATTTACAGCGGCTTGAGAGTTTTTAGCATGGTACTGTACTTCAGCCAAACTATGGGAATGCATAAAGCTCTTTGGACACTTACAAATAACCTTTTAAAACCTCACTCTTAGCAAGTAGCTAGTCTTGGCATATCTGTTTCAAGAACTGAATTTCCAAGGTCTTTAAATGGGATTAATGTTTCAGGCACAATGCTAATCTGCCAGAGCAAGTTAGTCCCATACTTTGTGTATCAATCAAAAATGCAGACACTGTGTCTGTAGAGAAATGTGCTACATAAATGTTATTATTATGCCCATTTTCTTTCCTTTTATGTGAAAATGAACCATTCTTTCTTCAAAGTCCTTGTGCTTACACTTTGCATAACAAGATGGGGAAATATGTATGCATTTTATTATTTTTAAAGCTCTCTTTAGTGGTTTTCATTGAATAAGCATTTGGTTTCCGTACGTTAAGCTGTATTGAATCCAAGGTAATAGCCTCTTCCTCTAGTTATGATTGTCTTCTGATGCTTCTTGGTGTTTTCTTTTGTTGCGGATCCCACAGGGCCATCTCCACATAGCCCAGGTTCCCCAAGGCGAGCAAGTCCAAATCACGCAGGACAGTGAGGTGAGCCAAGTTTGAGTACGCGTGGATAAGATGTTGGCCAGAACATAGGGCCCCAATTCTAAAACTGAACCTATGGGATCCGTTACAATGCTCTACAGAGACCAGCAGGAGTAGAAGTGAGAGCGTGAGGTGGAGCCAGGATGAAATGAGCTTTATGGCAGTATATGCAATATGCACTTTCTGTCTCTGGGGGAGTTGTGGGTTTCTTTTTGTTTGTTTGCTTTGGGTTTTTTTTTTTGTCCAACCAAGACAGCTCTGTGTGTGTGTTACATGAATGACTGTTGTATATGGCTGATAGTCTTTGGAAATTTAGTACTTACAGAGTATTGTAAGAAACCAGTTTAGGTATTTGCACTGCGTTTGAGAAATGAAATTAATTACGTTTATGAACTCAATGTGTTCAGAATACTCAGTGTCTTTAACTGTGGGAACTGTTGAACAGGACTTGGAGAAACCTTTAAACTCTGTCTAGTAAAGATACATTGCAGAATGAAGTAAACTGATAGAGAAATCTGACACTGAGGTATTTGCACTTCATATTGTTTTCTATAATCATAGTGTAGTAGAATGGAAATGGATAAATCCGGTAGTGAACCCTCTAATTTTGACTTCCCCCCCCCCCTACTCAGGCAAAACAGCTGTTAAAGCCAGCTGAATTTACCTGGGTGAGAGTAACTATAGTTAGGTTTGGAGAAAGGACCTTAAGATCATCTAGTTCCAACCGCACTGCCATGGGGAGGGCCGCCTCACACTAGGGCATTTAAAAATGTATAGAGACTCCTAACTGCTAAGACTGCTGATTTCTTAATGCACTTTGTTTACATGAAGAAGCAATAACTATGTAAGTTTAAACATAAATGCAGCCTACAATTTTAATCTATGATTTCTCTGTAGTGTATTTTACTCAATGTGAAGCACATCTGCTTGTGGGTAGGCTTAAATCCATTTCCAAAGTACCTTAAATCACATCTCATAAAACCACTTTTGTTGAAGAGGGGTATTGTTAACAAAGGGAGCTATTGTAGAATAAATATTATTGTAAATATTATATAAATATTATAGTTAAAGGCAGTCTTCTTTGAAGAGCTTCTCAGACGGGGGAAATAAGGAAGGATCAAAATGTTCTGGGTCTAAAGGGATGTATAATGTGCTGCAACAAAACTGAAGCAGGTTTTGGGTAAAGAGACACTGAAAAAGTTATGATTCAGCAGATATGAATTGTAATTGATCCTGAGGTGCCCGTTGGCTTCCTCTGGAGTTCCTGTGTGTAAGACTTTTAAGGACTACATCTGTCCATGACAGATGAAAACATCTGGTTTTAAATTTATTACAATGTACACAGCTTCAAATAAGAAGAAGTGCTGCCAGTAAGAGAAAATGCAGAAAATATGCAAATCAAAGAACTGGTGGGTTTTTTTTCTTCAAAGAAACGTGCTGTTTCACTGCATGTCTCTGTGTTTGGGAAACTGTGTTTATAATCCAAGTATACTTCTGAAAAGACGTATCTGAACATATGAATAAAAGCTTCATTTTGAAAGATACTGCTGTCCTTTTTACTTTGTAGCTACAGTTTCCTTTAAATACTTTACAATATTGATTTTATCTTGTAATAGATGTAACTTATGTGGCAGAACTATGATGGTCTTGGTATCAAATTTTGATGAAATAAAAAAATCTGGTAGCAAAGGCAGTAACTTCATAACAACCAATAGTAGATTGTACTTCACACACCTAAAAGTGTTAATACTGCTAATTCTGGTTTAGTAGTTTAAATTTGCAGTTTTATATAAATAAGGAAAACCCCAAAGCTTACCTTAAAAGCCATGCAAACAAACTGCACAAAAATATTGTGCATCATACAGTAACTTTCAGAAAGCAAAACATGCTGGTGCTGAAAAGCTTCCTTGCTTTTTAGTCTGTTTATCCTCTGTGGTTAAAGTGCTGACCATCGAATTGTAGCTGGATTGCCAAGATAACCCTCAGCAGAATTTCCTAAATTAATAGATTTCCTTAATATTGAAGTTGTTTAATAATGAGATGAGAAACAGGCCTTTTTCAGGTCAGACCAACTTGTAAAATTCCAAAGTCATTTTAATTGTCACTGCTCTTATTTCACAGGGAAACCTGCAGATACATCAAGTTCATGTGGGTCAAGATGGGCAGGTAGGAACATAACTCAGTTTTAAGCATAATTTTACTTTGGTCTTTAAAATTAATGTTGCAGTTGGAATGATCTCACATTATTTGTGCCTGGTTTAAAGAGCAAAGTCTGTTCTGGTCTTTCTGTTTTAATAAACAACTTGCAAAATGATAACACGTAAGCTGAGTACTTTGTCCATGGACTCAAAGTATTTGCTCAAGCTTATTTCATTACTCCTGTAAGATGCTTTTATCCCTGCAGTTTATACCTTCTTGTCTTTGGCCTTTTCACTCTCAAATCTACTAACTGGATTGTTTAGACTGTGTACAGTATGTTCTTTTCTCTGTTACCAACTGTCACTATGGCCAGATGTGGGCTGCAGTCCATGCTAACCAAAGAACATTTATTGCCGAGGTTTAAGCAGATATTTTTTCATTATATGGCTGTCTTGGGAGAAACAGATCTTTCATATCTGCTTTAGTTCTTTTTGATAAGATGGCTTTATTAGGTGCTTATGCATACATGAGGGAAGAAAAAGAAGCTTTTACTTTGAGTGATGAGTCAGTAAGCGATTAAATTAGCAGAATTTCCATGTCAGGTGTCAGCAAAATTCCTAACATTTGATCTCAGTCACACTTTAGTAAATGTTGAGCTGTATTAAAATATCCACAGCACGAAAATGTTCCTGTAAGAAGCTTTCTAGCCAGGCCACTTGAATAAATGTGTTTTGAATTTTTTTTGTTCCTGTTGAATATTAATAAGTTGTGAGACATATGGCTAGGACGTGAATATTGCCCTGAAGTGAAGCGGCTCACATCATAAAGGTTCTTGAACTCAAAGGCTTTGAGAAGCTACCAGTACTCTGAACTTTTGACCACATACAGTATTCATGTAGGGAAGCAATATGATTTGTATTAAAAAAATAAAACCCCCAACATTTTAAGTATTCTTTACTGAGACTTTAATCAGGAATACTTTTACAGAAGTGACACGAGGAAAGGTCATTTCCTTTGGAGACATGTCAGAACCTTTGTTTGAGTACTTACCGTTCTTTTTTCCTGCTTTGTGAAATACTACTGGCCAAATACCTTCTTTAAAGACTAATATTGGGTGATGGTGTGCCACTCTGACATGGCGATTAAGTTACTTTTAAAAAAATATTATAGCCTAGTACCATAATTTTTCCCCTTGGAATATCTGTTCCTAACAAGGATCCCCAAATTTCACCTTTCTTAAGCTGCATTGCTTGGTTCTATTTAAGATGTTTTGAGTTCCTGCTGGTTGTAAGTGAAATGTTTGGATGACTATGTTTTCCTGAGCCCTCTGTTTTAGGTAGGGGAGGCAAATTCTTTCATATAACAGTGGTATTCAGCTAACTCTCATGCCAAAGTAGTCATGAGGTAAGAAACTGTAAACTCTAGAGGAGTAAAAACCTTCCACACTCTAAATGTCTGTAAGTGGAGTCTTGCTGGTTGCCTGAGCAGCTACATTAGCACATGTAGAGTAAGGCTATTCTGGAAGAAAGACTTTCTACAAGTACATGTTTGTAAATGTGTGTGCACGTTTCTCTGCATCTGTATAGAACATGGTATGTGTTGAGGTGTGTGAGAGTACAAGATAGGGAAGAAAACCATGATTTAATCTTTTTGTTGTTGTTGAAATCCACATCACTTTATCTATAGAAAGGCATTGGTACTATGACATAGTACATATTTGTATACATACTGTGCATATGTATGTCATACTTGACATCTTGCTTCTACCCAAGCGATTGTGTCTGCACGTGTGTATGGAGGAAATCACTTCAGCATCCTATCTTCTGTTTTTTAACTAACTGTACTCTGGGCCCTGCTTTTAAACTTCCCATGAAAGCAAGCAGTGAAGTGCTGGCGTAGTTGTTCTTCACACGCTAAGCTATGTTTTGGTGCAGAAAAGTAACTGCCGCCTCTTGAGCATCAGCAGGCATTGTCACACTTCAGCTGGAATCTCTGCAAATCCCCAGGAACCCTCAAGCTCCTCCAGAAGTATTTGCTGCTCAACTGTTTTCCAGTGGAGCAAAAAAATAGGAGGAAGAAAATATTTAGGGGATTTTCATCTCCATTCTGCGCTAATTTTGAACCCTTCATCAGCAGTTTTAAGCCACGTGGGCCTGTTTTGCACTGAAGTGGATGAGTAGCACTCACATGATTCCTTACAACAGCTCCCTGTGTCTGTTAACAAGAGGAGCAGAGGGAAGCCTCGTGCCTCAGCTGTTTCCTGCTCATCAGCTGATCTGTGCTAAGCGACCATTTTTTGAGCTATTAGCTCATAAAAATTGCAAGGAAAAGTGAGTTAAACCATGTTTGTGGTTTAAGAATGGAAGTTGAAACTAATACATTTTCTTTGGCACTTACAGTGGGATAAGAGCACAAAAACTTGTCATATGATATGGTTCAGTGGTAATGGAAGTCATAACAATCCAGTAGCTTGCGATCATCTGTACATGACCTGTGAGCAGGGAGACTTCTGTAGTTTTCCCACCTGTCCATTACTTTTCAGGAGAGTGGCTTTTTCTTCCATGTTTTGAACTCTAATACATGCTGCCAAGGGACACTAAAGAATATTGATAAGTGAATAATGTGGCACTTCTGTTACTAAATGTTTTTAGCTGACTACTAATGGTAATAGATTTTAGCTTGGCTACCAAATAGTCCCTTTGAAAATTCATCATTTGCTGCTGTTCTCCATCTGTTACTGTACACTTCACAGATGTTGGGTAATCTCTCGATTCAGGTGAGGCTTAGTACTGCCACCTGATGCACGCTTTCAACCTGAATTACAAGTAAAAGGTTTTCAAAAGCTGGGGATGCAAGGCATATGTTAGCTTCATATGAACTAAAGCATAAAATGGCATAAATTCACTGTGAAATTTTATCAATAAAATTTCCAAGGTGAATAAATGTTTTAAGCTTTGTAACAGTAGTAATAAATACCATCTTTTCTGCAGAATGCTGCCAGTTGTTGATTTTAACTTCTTTTTCCCCTTTTTGGATTGTCTATCCAGGTAGTTGCACTGAATTTAGATTTTGTTTTTCTGGCATCATTCTTCGTGGAACTAATGAAATAATGCCAAAAAGAATGCTCTCTACCTACACATGTGTTCTATTAGCTGAAAGTCTCGTATTTCGGTGCATGTTTAATAAAAATACCAAACTGCAAAAATAATTAGAATTTGTGTTAACTAACACTTGAAGCCTCAGACCAGCAGAGGCTTTTTCAACCTTACATTTTATACTTAAGATTACCAGAAGATTTCTAATTTGTGTGTCTTTCCTCTGATTACTTTTCTCCCTAATTCCATCCTTTTCACCCTTTGAGCGTAAATGTTCCTTATCGCAGGAGGCATTCCATGTGCGTCCTGCACAAGCTGACATAGTACCACAGTGTTCAAAAGTATAGGTGGGGTTTAACGAGGTGGAACAGTTTCAGTAGTTTGACAGTCCTTGATATTCTGCATTTTGGACATTCCATTTTGTATGTCCTCACAAGCCAGTGTTTCTCCAATTTAGAAATTAATTAAAATGACACCAGACAGATGGTCTTCAACTAATAGCTTTAGTTCTTAAATTAAAAAGTTAATGCACTTTAACATCTAAAATGTGATTATATGTATTCTTGGAGAGCTGGCAATTTGTTCTGCTCCATGAATGAAAAATTGATAAGAGTAGGAGCATTTAGTTCACTTAGTATCTGTAGGTAAGTAGAAGAAGCAGGAGAATCCAGAACAAACAGTATGTACGGTAGTTTAGCAGCAAAGAACTAGTGAAAATTGCTTTTGTAGTAATCAGTCTTCTTACTGTGTGCATTAAAACAAATTCTGTGTGCAAATAAACATGCAGAGTTGCTCTTCTACATAAGGAACTTGGCATCTTACGTAGCTGTAGTCATAGTCTCTTGCAGATTAAGTTTGTAATCAGTTGTGTGGTGAGACCCATCCATAGCTGTAGAATTACATATATGTAGAGAGAGGGGATCACATTAATAAAACATTTTCCTGGTGGTTAATGAGGTATTTGTATGGAGCAGAGATTGCATTGTCTTTTTCTGAACCTCTACTCTGACCTTGCTGCTATGAGCTTTATGGCAGCTCTGGGGTCTGAGAGAGTTCAGATGCAGGGCTGTTGGGGTAGATCACCAAGTGAGCTTTACAAAAGCATCGTTGTAATGTGTAATGATTGCATGAGAGTAAATGAATCCATGATAGGAAAATACATTCTTGGAAAACTGCTGTAGTGATGGTGAAAATAGGGCAGACTTGAGTGCTGCCTAGTAGCAGCTAGCTGCCGTTCGGCCTGAAGGGTTACAATATAGACGTGTATGAGAAATAGATCAGTGAGACATTGTCTTTAATGTCCTCCAGAGGAGCATGAATCTGATGTCTCATTCAGATCTGTTTTCAATACACATAGTACAGCCTGTAATGCAGCACAGGAGGAGATGTGACCTCATCACCTATGTTTGAAACATCTGCCCACTTTCTGCGCTCTGCTGAGTATGAAGCAAAGGGAAAGCTGTTAAATCGTGGAGGAATGGAAAAGGGTGAGAAATAGTTCCAAATGTTAAGGGGGGAAAAAATCCTATTCTAGTAATTTCATGTAATATTCAGTGAATCTTACTTGTGACTGAATCAAACTGAAATGAAAATACATTGGCTTGTGGAGGAAATTATTAACAAACACACGGGATGGTCTTAAACCAACTCTGTTAACATCTGGTTTTTGTATCTGTTTACCCCCCAGTCATTAGTGAGATATTCACACCTTGCTTTTCAGTGGGTGCACCTCGTGTTTTAAAGGTCCAGTTTAATCCACGACACGAGCATGATTTTCAGTTATACAAACAAAATGTGTTGGCATATGAACTCAGCTTTGCTCGCTTATGCATTTTGCAGATGTCATTTTATTGAGAAAGAAATGGCTTTATGTATTTTCTGAATATTCATTTAAATTGCCTTTCGTAAGCCTTTGGAATAAACACTGCAGTT